TCCCAAAGCTCTAGGCTGCAAGGGGACCTCCTGTGCTAGTTACATAAAGAAAACAAAACATGTAAAGCAACTCGGTAAACAATAGAATAAGTTTAAAGGAATCAAGTACATTTCATTGCAAAAGAAACAAACACTCCAAGTATAGGAGATTTGGTAATTTACGACAAATAAACTCTGATAGGCCCCGAATATGCTCAGACAAATTGCCCCCACCGCTCCGAAGGGAATTGTTAGGGAATGCGAGGAGTTTCTTTATGATTTCTTTACGTATTATTAGTAAAGGCGTGAATAATGGCGTGACGGGGATTTGGACCGTAACCTTATGTTTGCACTTTCATCCGCCATCAAACGAACGAGAGTGAGGCGCGCTTCACTACATTTATATATACGTACGAGCGAGCGGACGGGAGAGTGGGGTGCAGAAAGGAGAGACAGCGATTGGCGAGAGAAGGAGCTCCACCGAGCTCCCGCGATGCGAGCGCCCTCACACGCCAGAGAGCGCTTTTGGGATGTTAAACCCTACATATCAATCACTCCTCTCCACTCTCACCCCGCTTAGGGTGCCTGAATGGTTTCCCTCGCCCGCCGCTCCTTGCAGGGTGGGGACATTGTTTGACGGGGTGCTCGCCGCCGCGACCGGTTTTTCCTGACGGCCGCCGCCATTGCAGATCTCACTTCGCATAGCGACGGGAGCAAAGAAGGAGCTGTGGCCGCTCTGTCATATACTTTTTTAGGGAAATGACTGGGTGCTGCGTGCCCATGTGCACGAACAACTCCAGAAATGGTTGGAAACTCTACCATTTTCCGACAGAGCCCAAAAGAAGGCTGCTATGGATGGTGAAGATTAAGCGAGACAAGTGGCAGCCTACGAAGTCCTCGTGTGTATGCAGTGTGAGTATCCCGACATGTGTTCTTTTCTCGTCGAGAACTTTGAAACTTGTTTTTTTAAATGTGTATACGTGTCTGTGGGTCACTTTGTCGGTGCTGTAAACGCTTCACGTCTAAGTTGCAGTTTTTCTCTCTTTTTTTGCGATCTCTAAAAGTGCAGCTATGGAAACGTGTGGCGCAGCCGCAGTATTTGAAGTTTGTACCAGTTTTTAGTCACTATATGTATAAACAAAATAGGCTGCTTGTTATTAAATTGCGTATTTACAGAAAAGTGTTTTTCATTCGTTTATTGCAAATCACGAAATTCAATAAAAGTTGTGTGGTATACTGTGTCTTTCTAGTAATTCTGTCTAGGCTAAGCTAAGCTAAAATTCATGGTTCATAACGGACTTACAGGCACATTTTGAAGCAAGCCATTTCGAGCAGCACCGAGCTGACCAGTGGATAAAACTGAAGCCGAACGCTGTGCCAACGGTGTTCCCTTTCAGGGGTAAGTTACTGTTTCACTGTGCGTCAAAGATTCTGTATGAACCTAACAGGTGGCAACAGTACAAGGCTAAAATGATTTAGTTTCAAAAATTAGGATGATCCGTGGAATTCCTCGTTTGAGGATATTAAGAAAGTCGGGGTACGTGCCTGCGACCTGAGAAAAGGCATATGTCTGCAACCTATAATACTGCTAAAATCCAGTACAGGCCTGTGATTAGAGCTGGCTACCTTGTAATACTTGCAGCTTGTGACTGTCCTTTTTTGCACTGCAGGCTTGCCTCCACAAAGGAAGGCGCCAAAGGACAGGGCAGGACCTGCTGTGTTGCCTGATGCATGCCAAGAAACACGCGGTGACAACTCTACGGCCATTAATTGTACGCCACTCACAAGTGCACAGGCGAATTTAAATTCACGCACAGACAGTCTTGGCGCACAGCAACCGCAAAGCTGCAATTCTCAGACGCCTGATTCAGTACCGCACATTATGGAAAGGGAAGAAGTTGTGATCTCGGCCGATGCACCTGACGGGGCACGTGAAAACAAGCAGTTAAATAAGCAGCTCTCCGATATGGGCAGAAAATACACTCAGCTACATCAAGTCCATCGGAAAGCCACCTCAACCATTCAAGCACTAAAAAAACAGGTGAAAAAATTGGAAACCAAAATGGAATTATTCGGACAGCGTTTGAAATTCCTCAATGATGACCAGCTGCAGGCTCTTGGGCGCCAGAGTAATAAGGGAAGCACTTGGTCTGCAGAAACAATCAAGCAGGCGCTTCAGATTAAGTTTTCCTGTGGAAAAACTGGTTACCAGACACTAAGAAATCTGGGCTACCCCTTGCCATCCGGAAAAACCCTTGCACGTCGCCTTCAGGGCCTCAAGTTTCTTCCCGGAATTTTGACGGAAGTCATCGATGTTCTCAAAATCAAAGCAGAGAACATGCAAGACATTGAAAAAGACTGTGCTTTGTTCTTGGATGAAATGGAGATTGCTCGCGGGTACGAGCTCGATCGCGCTGAGGATGTGGTGTTGGGGGGGCAAACTATGCCAGAAAATCCAGACGAACCTGCACATCACGCACTAGTGTTCATGGTAGGAGGCCTGAATACGAGATGGAAGCAAGTGATTGCCTACCACTTCACCGGAAGTCATGTAGAGGGTAGTATCCTCAAGGACTACGTCATGAAGATAGTGCAGCTCTGCGCGGAAATCTCTTTAAGAATCCGTGTCGTCACTTGCGACATGGGGGCTTCTAATCGGGCTATGTGGCGCGAGCTCGGATTCTCCAGCCACAGGAATTCCATTACTGTATGTTCAGTGCCTCACCCCTGTCTGGAAGACAAAGAATTGTTTTTCACAGCAGATGCTGCACACGTGCTGAAGAATGTCAAGTCACAGTTGCTTTCATCGGAAGTATTCTTTCTGAGTGATGCAACAGTATGCCAGCACAATCTGCCATCAAAAGAAGTGAACGTGGACCATGTGCGCAGTGTAATTAAGTATGATGCTGAACGAGAGCTGAAAGTCGCCCCGAGGCTCTCAGAGTTACACATTTCGCGAGGCCATTTCACAAAAATGAAAGTGGGAGTTGCTGTCCGCTTCTTCAGGGAAGCTCCTGCAGCGATTCGGTACCTAATTAAAGAGGACGCGATAGAGCCGGAGGCAGAGACAACAGCTTGGTTTCTAGAATTAGTATTCAACTGGTACACGCTAATGTCTTCCCGCCACCCATCAGTTGCTCTCAGCCTTCGAGACATGCGGAGGTACCACGAATCAATTGAGCTACTGAACTCGGCCCTCGAAGTTTTTCAAGGAATGAAGATGGGAAGCAAGGCACAGTGGAAGCCTTCGCAAGCAGGTTTACTAATAACAACAAAAGTCGTTCTTCGTCTCCAAGACATTCTCTTGCGCAGTGAAGGATACGAATTCTTCCTCACGAGCAGAATCTTGCAAGACTGCCTCGAAAATTTGTTTTCGGTGGTGCGCATCAGGAAGCCTGTTCCTAACGCATATGACTTAAAGTGTGCCCTGAAGCTTGTGTGCGTGAGTCAGTTCCTTCATGCACCCGGAACGTCAAGCTACGAAGTCGACGATGCTAAGTACCTCGCCGACATGCTTGCAAAAGGCAAACAAGAGCACGGGGAGGTGGAAGCTGATGTCATTGATGACTCGGAAATTTTGTTCATTGAAGAACTTCAAGAAAACGAATGCAACATCCTTTTCTACATCGGCGGCTTCCTTTTAAAAGGTATGCTGAGTGTTGTAGCGGGATGCGGGCATTGTAATTCTGCCTTGTTAGGCTCAACTGAAAGCGAGCACGCAACTCTGACTATTCTGAAGGAGTACAGGAGTGAAGGTGGCAACCTCACATATCCCAGCAAGGATGTTTTGCTGACACTCAAGTCGTGTGAAGAGCATTTCAGGGGCATCATAAGTTGGAGTGAGGGCTTGCTGCGCTTAAGGTCCCCGTTGAAGGCCGTGACCGATTATTTGAACGAGATGGTGCGCCCTTGCGTAAAGACTTGCTCCGAGCACAGTGACGCCGTAGCAAAACTCCTTATTGCGAATTATGCAAGACTGAGGCTTCGCGTGCATTTGCGCCACGTTAGTTCAAACGGCGTCAATGAACACGGAAGCAAGACGTGCGCTGGGGTAAGCCTTCCGTGACCAGCCGAACTGGACCAGTCACTTATAAATTTTATTATTTTTTCTTTCAGAACACTTATTGTTTGATTAAAATATTTTGAGTTCATTGTGAACTGGCTAACCTCCCTGTCCTTTCTTCATCCTCCTCCTTAAGTTCATAGACATTTTTCTTATTTGTTATACAATATCACATTCTTAGATAAAAACAGCGTTGTGATCTTTAAGCTGACTAAGGTTGTGATCTTTGGAGAATGTTTATGGTAAGTTAATATTATTGCGGTCGAAGCAATACCGACACAGCGTCACAGAGGCAGAATACGAGAGTGATACTTCTCGGATAATTAGATTGCTCGCTTACATATATCTATGGAAAGTAGAAAAACTGAACAGGTATAGGGCATCAAAATCGTTATTACTGCATTTCATCTTGTATTTTCCAATAACTTAGTAAGATTTTTTTCTCAGTGGTCACATAAAAACGAGAGATTCAATTGATGTTTACGCTGTTTCACTATCTCAACCAGCTATAACAGAAAAATAGCTGTGTAACAAATCTGAATCTCATTCCCGCAAGATTATTCAGAGCTGCGAGGGCACGCAAGGCGGGGGAAAAAGCAGGATGAAGTAAGTTCAACGCGTACAATGCGAGCACTACTGAGTGGCTGGCACGCTGCACAGCCACTGAGGAGTGCGGTGAGTTTAGGTAACAGGAAAAGGCGTGCGCTTCATGAATTAATGTAGATTTATCCTGCAAACAGTCTCCAATGACAGACGCACATATTCAGACTGCTTTTTTATAGCGCGAAATACCATTTCTCGCACTAAACTCTTCTCAAACTCTCCTCATACGCGCGCGCAGGCAGTGTGTTTCGTTGGGGTGAGATATGTAATGGCGGACGCTCTAGCAGACGACGCGGTTGTCCCCACCCTGTACGGAGCGGCGGGCGAGGGAAACCATTCAGGCACCCTAACCCCGCTACTCCACCAACGCCCCCTGCTTTGGTTGCAAGGGGCGAGGATAGGCGCGCGCCCACAGCTGTTGCTATGGCAGAGGGAGCGAGAGCGGAAAGATATAACTTGGCGGCTCGCGGACGCATGACATAGCCTCACTAAGTATTTCATCAAGTATAAAGCTCTGAAAACCCTAAGCATTTCGCGTAGCGCAGTGCTCGCAAGACCTCTGAACCACTCGAACACGAGTGCATGTGTTCGTGTGGTTCAGACTTCATCTTCTAAGTTGTGTGTTATAACGTAAAAATGATATTGGCCTCGAAGACATACCGTGTCACCACCTACGTAGTGACGGCACTCCATAGGAAGTTGGGTAATCATGTCTACTAGAACACCGCATTTCCTGCGCTTTCACTGTGCACACCGTGCGCGCTTCCCTTCGCTTTGAAGCTCAGTGCTCAAAGAAGTGGTAAGACCTTATAATACGGGCAAGCAAACTACGAATCGGTGCATCTGGTGGCGTACTCGTGCCTGATGTGCATCGTAAAATCTCGACAAAGAACTGGTGCAGCCATGGGGGGCAATGCAAGAGGTGTCACAAAAGATAAGCTGCCGTATTCCACAGCTACTACGCAGCAAGGCAAGCGCACGCATCCTATCTGTGACGTCAAAACAATAGCAGCGCTCGCCTCTCTAGAGGAGGCCCTCATGGCCAAAACGCATTCAGCCTTGCAATAAAATTTAAACAGCAGAGTGAGCCATTCCAGTGATTGTGAGGCAAGTGTGGCCTCTCTATTGACTCAAAACGAGGAAAACGGCGTTACCTGATAGGTATCCGAGCGCATGGACCAGCGAAACAGGAAGAACAAGGTCCGGACCCCACTGTACGAAAAGCCAGCCAGAAGACCGTGGCGCCGGGGTGGGAGTAGCTCGGTGCACAATAGAAAGGACACGGGCCCCACTCCTACAGAATTGGCGATCACGGAACAAAGGGCAGCGCACATCACGGCCCGCTCGAAGGTGGCGTTCTCAGTAAGCGACTCGGCGTATATTGTGCGGTTGACGAGATAGGCACTAATCCACAATATTATTGTCAGGGTGACCGAGGAGGTGTAGAGCAGGAACCGCCGACCGAGGCTGTCCATTAGGAATATGATGCCCGGCATGATGGAAATCTGGAAGATGGCCGTTATGAGGTCCTTTTGGCCGAAGAAGATGTCGTTGCTGCCCACAAGGTGGAGCTCTCGGAATTTCCGCACCTGGACACGCGTTAAGTAGAACAGCGGTTCAAGCACATACACTGAAAATGTAAGCATCTAATTAGTTAGGTCACGAAACAAATTGTTTCAGTGCCACCTGTGTGTATGAACGTAAAACAGCCAACAGCCGCCATTTCGCATGAGCAGTGCCGTGTGTTTGGCCAGCGTGTTTACTTCTTGGATCACACATAACGTTCACACAAAAAATGAAACGTCTACCTCATGTTTATGCTTCGTTTGTTGCCATTGCAATAATATTGACACTCTCGGCTGGATTTTGCCGTCGGCGGCGACATCGGCGTCAATGTCATGCACCGTATATGTACACTTATCTGTATAAGTGAAAATGAAAAAAAGAAAAAAATCTATAAAAACACTCCATCAAGCAGAATCAAACGTGGGACCACTGCGTCGTGAAAGCGAGGCCTTAACCACAGAACCACCCTAGAAAACGGTCTTGAATGTTCAAACGGCAAGCAAATTATATTTACCATTTACCGCTGCTGTGTTTGCGGCATTACCAGAAAGATGGCGCAATGAGCGCACGTTGCCACATCGCGCAGCGGCGCCAGCTCTAATCTCCCTTATCTCGTGGTGGCGAGGAGGGGAGGATCGTACGCCTTGACTGGCCTCGGGCTTTACATGGAACAATTCTGCTGTAGTCATGGGGCGCACAAAGGTCACTGCAATTATTGCAGTCTCCGTTTGCGAAAACCACGCAATTTACAGACTCAGCGAAGTAACAAATAAGACGCTTATTCGCGTGTATCCGTACCTGTGAGTACGTTCCCTGTGTAATTTGTGCGCGAGAAACGCAGGGCACGATTCGATCTGCTTTTCATTCTGCGCGTGACCTTTCAAATTGATGCTATCGCGTTCATTGCTTCGCCTTTGCGGCAAAGGTGTGACTTTTCTTTAAACGCACAAGTGCCGCGTTCCTCCGTACTTTATTATTTCTTTTTACGCACAATGATGACGTATCCTATTATCACTCGAACATTCAAAGGCTTTTTACATTGATGTGAGTGCTTCTGCCACTCGTCTCTGAGGTAACCTGCGACTCCTATTGATTGATTGATTTGTGGGGTTTAACGTCCCAAAACCAACATTTGATTATGAGAGACGCCGTAGTGGAGGGCTCCGGAAATTTAGACCACCTGGGGTTCTTTAACGTGCACCCAAATCTGAATACACGGGCCTACAACATTTCCGCTTCCATCAGAAATGCAGCCGCCGCAGCCGGGAATCGAACCCGCGACCTGCGGGTCCGCAGCCGAGTACCTTAGCCACTAGACCACCGCGGCGGGGCCCTGCGACTCCTATCTTCAGAATATAAATATAGATAAAGAAATACCTTAGTACCACTCCAATACCAAAGCAACAAAGTAAAATTCTGAACACTTGAAATATTCGAAATTGGCAACTCACAATACCGTTTGAAAACACATTCATGGAATTTTGATTTACATCTAAATATACGAACGTGCTTAATACACAAAGCAAGCCACTCGTAACGACCAGTTCTATTTGTCGAGTACTTAAATAGATAGATAGATAGATAGATAGATAGATAGATAGATAGATAGATAGATAGATAGATAGATAGATAGATGGATAGATAGATAGATAGATAGATGGATAGATGGATAGATAGATAGATAGATAGATAGATAGATAGATAGATAGATAGATAGATAGATAGATAGATAGATAGATAGATAGATAGATAGATAGATAGATAGATAGATAGATAGTCTTAGCAATGACACCTTTCTTTAGTACAACAGCGTTGAATCGAGGTCATTACTTCAGAATAAAATAAGCATTGTTAGCATTGTCATAAGCATTGTCATCTTACTCCCGCTGGTCCTCCAAGTGTGCGCAACCAGAACACAAATATAGCGCAAACCATGGCCTTGCATGGTGTTCGGCTGCGCTGTACGCGGATTGCCGAGATGGCGCACTCGTCACCAGTCACAGCGATGCCCAGCAGATCGTAGGCGTGCTGTGCCTCTGTCAAGCGGTCGACCTGCACCAAAGCACGTGGCGAATCCTTCAAGAAATTGAGTTCGGTTATCCCGAATTCTGCAATTACATAGTTAAAAGATGTTATTATGGCTGTTGGCAATTAAAACAGTAAAAGATCCCTGTTTGGCAGCGAAATATTTATTAGCACTAGCAGAAATTGAGTCGGGAGCCATAAAACAAGAGCATACAGAAGTTATTGAAAAAGTGATCACTACCTAGTGAGACACAGATAATACCGACTTATCGGTATTGCGTGAAGCTAGTGACTACCGGTTTGTGTTCGGGACAATACTATAATATTTAGGGAGAAAAGATACATTTTCACTGAATGTCGTTACATTAAGGATTTATCGCCGGCTGCGCGGCCGCATCATTGTGGTAAACTGTTGCTTAACATTGTTAATTGTAAAGCCGTGTTGTCACGGTGTTAAATCTTGCCTGGGCTACTCAATGTAGAGCACTTACGTAGCCAGTGTTGTCGTATGCCATCGTCGTCTGATGTAGCTTGCAGTAAGCTAGCAAAATCGCATAGAGCATAGTCCTGTGTAGCATTCTTAGTATGCGCTTTAGCACTAAGCAGAAGGTTGTTTCCTCGTGTCGGCTTCACGGACAACGAAACTTGAAACTATGATGGAAAAATACTTATGACTAATATGTACAATCAGGTCACAAAAATTCAACAGCTCACAGAGAGCATTACGGCAGTCGTCTCAATAGTGACATCACCCGTTATTCACACTGGACTAACACCGGCGCAAGAACCCGCTTTAGGCTCAGTCGTAGAGAGGGAGACTCTCGATGCGCCAGAAGCAATGACAAGCACTACGTGCAACCCGGAACCTTGAAGCCCTGCCGGGGAGCCTATAAGGTCACACAGCGCGAGCTCAGCGTGCATAGAACTTTTTAGGTGATCGTGATGGCCAACGCACCGATAACACTTCGGCAGTTGAATTGCGGGGCATTCGGTCGTAACTGCCGAGCTTTAGATTACACGATTCAAATTTCTCAATCTAAACCCACTATTCTAGCCACCCAGAAAACGGGCGTGGCAGCAAAGCTTCCCGGTTTTTTTACGTACGTATAATAGAATTTCATCACTGGGCGCTTCTCTCGTCACGGCACGTTTGGTATATAGGTGTCTAACTGCCAATAAAATACACTTAAATTTTCAAGCAATCTCTTATACGTTTGTCAAAATTTTACCAAAACAGCGATTACAACAAACATATATTTTGGATGTCTATAGGCCCCCACGAGATAAGGCCCAAGCTGTAGCCAAACACTTAAAGCCACTAAATAAGTGAACCGAGCACTGCTTGTGGTGCATGGTGATTTTTAATGCTCAGCACTCAGCTTGGGGCTATCTTAAATGCGAAAAGAAAGGCAGAAAGCGCTGGAAGACCGCTCAAGACCTTGTTTGCACCCTTCCCAACGACCCAAAATGCTCCACCCCCATAGGGAACACCGTAAGTGGTGACACTTCACATGACCTGACATTTATTAGAAATAATTTCAAAATCACCTACGAAATTTTAGTAATGAATAAATGTAGGGAAGTGCTCTCTAGACTTTATTCACAATGATCTTCCCCAGTGATTCGAAGCGCACAAGACCTAAAGTAATGCACACTAGATGGAAGATATTTCGGTTCATATATGATCAGCGTGAGCCCCCTGCAATTGCAAGCCTCGACGAGTGGGTGTCCACACTTGTGCCAGATGAAAAAGTTTCACTTCCGAGGTAATGCAGACGAGGATGGTCTGACTACAAAGGCCAAATGAATTAGAAACCTTCACAAGTGGTGGCTAATTAAAAAGCCCACTAAAAGCCTCCGTAAACTAACTGCACAGCTCGAACAAGACATTGAGCAATATTCACAACAGCTAAACCAAGAACATTGGCATCAGCTTTCCGATCACCTCAAATCAACAGGCATCTAGGATATAGAAGTACGTAGTTTTTGCCTAAACATCCCATTGATTCTAACCACACTTAAGCAGCGTCGCAGAAAAACCTTCAGAATATTACACGCTCCTTTCCGGGCAACAACGGTGTGAACATAAAGGAACTTTAGGATCGATACTTTATTCTTTATTCATATCTTTTCGCGCCTCCCACTAACAAAGGAAAAAACAACGAAGAATTTGATCGACAATTTATAGAGTGCGAGGTTCAAGCTCTCTTAATTAAATCAAAACCACGTCAGCCAGTGGTGAGGACAATGTCATTAATAAAATGTTACGCACTCTAAATGACTACTAAACAAAACCCTTCAATACCCACTGAAAAACTGCATCCTATCTACCATATGGAAGTATGCCAAAGTAATCTTTATACCTAAACTTAGCGACAAATCAGACTTGGTAAATATTTGCCTCATTTTTCTAACCTTATGCGTAGTCAAGCTTAAGGAGCATGTCATTTTAGACAAACTAAACAAGTACGCAAAAAGAGAGGGGCTCTTCCCCAATACAGTGATCGGTTTCTGTCTAATCTGTCCACGCAAGATATCATGTGGCAGATACAGTGTTATAACGTATATCCGGGTCCCATTAGAGCCACTTGCACCATTCTTATGCTGGACGTGAGCAAGACTTTAGACAACGTATCCCGAGCGTCCATCCTTGCCAATCTGACACAAATGAATGCAGGAAAGTTCATATCTACCAACATTCCCTGTTTTCCTAGAAATAGAGCGCTGAGGATGTTCATATGGGACATATCAGAGCGGATATTTTCAATGAAGAACCAGCGAGAACTTTCAGGACGCAGTGTTTTCCCCCGTCCTATTTATTATTACTGTGCGAGCTCTCCCTCCTTTTCTCACTAAAACTTCTTACATAGAGCACTCCATTTACACGGATGACATCACCATCTGGACCGACGATGGTTCTGATGGCGAGATCACTGACACTCATCAGGAGGCCGCCAATGTCGTACAAAATTTTGTTAAGAAAAACGATCTTGCGTGCTCTGCCCAAAACCTTGAACTTCTAGTAATCCACAATAAATCTCACAAAACCTGGGCTGCAGGGGACTCTGCGTTTCTTATTTGCGTGAATATAAATGATAGACTGCTCCCATTTGTGTAAACGAAACGAGTGCTGGGAACGTTAATACAAAAATATACGCATAATTCAGAAGCGATAGCGTGGCTGCAAGCCACGGACCACCAAATATGTGGTCTGCTCCGGTGCGTAGCCAAGAGATATTCATGGCATGAAGGAGGCATACTTATCTCGACCGACCACGGCCTTCTTAGAGCCGCAATGTGTACTTCCCGTACTATCGTTTCCGGCTCTCCAACAAAAAATAATAATAGTGTAATACGCATGCGCTGTAAGCAAAAATATACCCAGCTGGGAGGAATGGGAGGATGATGCGCCTGCTCTGCTCTGGTGGCCTCGCTCAAACCAGATTGTACTGGAGCAAATACATTTGTTTTCCACTGTTTTCCTCCGGTGGTCGCCGGACCAAGGAAACCGGAAGGAAAACGAGGTAAGTGCTCTGAATTCGCTCCCGTGGTTGCTCCGGAATCGCTCCGTCACATCGCTTTTGCCCCAGTGGATGCTCCCCAATGGCTGCAGCTCATCGCTCAACGGCATCCATTGGCTTTTCGAGAAGTGACGTCGGCAGCCTCACCACCGGGAGGCCGTTTCCCACAGACCAACATGGCTTAGGTCAAGCCGGTGTAGTCAGGATTGTGCAAAGTGTTCAGTCGCGTTCTCGAAAAGGAAATCGTTCTGTGCACTTTCTAGGTATCACAAGTGACTACAAGCAGCAAGGAAGACTGTCATGGACAGAACGGTGTTGTTGAAACTATAGCCATGTGATGGTTCTGGGCAGTGAACGACTTATTGTGATATCGCGAGTGTTGAGCGGCTCGGTCATGGCTGGTGCGGCGAAAGAAAGGTGAGAGAGCTCTTCTTCAAATATCTGTGCTAATCTTCTCAGGTTTTTACAAGATTGAGAAACATTGGTTTGAGACCAAACAGGTTATCAATGGTAAGCAAGTTTTACAGGATGTAAGTAAATCAGTGGAAATTGTGACAGCGCGTTGTTTGGACCACGTCTATATTTTTTTCTAACACAACTGCGGCAATATTATTATCAGCATCGACATTGATAAAATGAATTGCTGATGCTGTCATAAAGAGCCCAAAAATTCGCTCATATTAGTGAAAAAAAAAAGCTTTCAAATGTTTCAGCGGAAGTAGAGCTATCAATTTAGAAATATATGGAAAACGTTCACCAGTTTTTAAGTTTGTTAACGTCAAGGGGATGCGCTTTCATTACCTAGCTGCTGTCTCACACCGGAGCACATGAGATCTACTTCTAGATATAAAATGCTCGTTCTGTCTTTTTGTGTGTTTGTGTGTTAGGCTGGTTTAAGAAGCTAGTTGTTCTTGTGTACTCACTGACTGTATAGAATTTAGTGAGTACCCGTGGTTTCAGTTCCCTCAGTTTTCTTGCCTCTGGCGTGATTTGCACTTTTCATGTATAATTGTTTTCCAAAATTTTGCAGGAAGCAATCAGTAGAACCCTTGCATCGTCAATGAAGCTGATGAATAACCCTTTGGCGATGTTGAACAGTTTTTCCCGGTGGCCACACTTTCGTCGTTTGTCGTGCATCTTTTCGCAGCATTCTGGCCTTCATTTCAAAGCGCTGCACTTAAAACTTGAGTGCTGTGGACTTAATGTAACCTGCTAGAGCTCTGTGAACAAATTACACAGTAAATCTGCAGTGCTTGCTTCAGAATTTTGAATTCCTTAATGTAACCGACGTGTAACGCGAGCAGTACAGAATAAATAAATAGGTGAGCAAAACACTTAAAAAAGGCTGATGCACCTCACTGAAATTCAGTGTAGATGAAGTGAGGACATTTTCAGAATAATCCGTAGGTACCCCGCTGAAGCTCCGGATAGACAGAGTGAAATACCCATGCGAAATGCTCCGGAGTTGCATTTGCACGTAATCACTTCGCCAAGCCATAGCCAAAG